AAAGTAATGCAAACAAATCCTATGCTTCGCTGTGTTGCTCAGCAGGGATGGGCCTTGTGCTAAAAGTTCAAACACGCAAGACGTTTGGGTTTTTTTGAGCTGGGACACACTGGGTGGGGAATTCTTGGATCCTAATAAATTTCCAAAGTGTTTAGGGAATAAAGCACCAAACAACTTGAAGGATTGGGTCTGTGGTCGTATTTTGCGCTGTGTATAGCCTAGCTGAGCTTTATATGAAATTACCCCGTATTCAATGGGTGTGTGTTTTAACCAACTTTTTTTTGTTTTGTTTTGTTTTGTTTCTTTTTTTAATTATACCTTCCCAGTCTCCCCTGCCCACGGAGCCCGTCCAGCGTCCTGGAGCTACTTCCCCCCTTGTACGTTTTCATTTATTCCTTTTTTCTTCTTTCACTCTTTCTCTCCCTGTCTCTCTCTCTGTGTCTCTATTTTTTTTTCTTCTTCTGTACATATAAGTCAGTAGCACTGATGCTTTGAAGGATATTCAGGGAAACCAAAACAAACCTTTAGTCTAACATGCCTTTTTAAAAGCTCTTTGGACATAAAACAATACAGCAGGGAAACAGAGAAACTGATTCTAACTCTCTTCTGTTAGGGTTAGGGTTAGAGTTAGAGTTAGAATAATTTTGAATGAATAAAACCATAACTGAAACAAATTAAGTGCCAGGCAACCAAAAACCAAATGGCAGTTTGAAAGAAAGAGAAGTTAAAATTGGGTGATGGAGAGGAATTAAACATGGCTCTGAAAGTTTGTTAGAAGCAAAGATCTTCAGAAGCAAAGATTCTTCTTTTTTTTTTAAAGATCAGAAAATGCTGGTTGTGCTTAGCATCTCACAATGCCCAAAGTGAATCTGTCAAGTTATGTGGCAGTGGCTTACTTATCCAGAGAGCCCTGCTTCATGTCTTTTTTAGATCCTGCTAGTGCTAATCTAAACCTCATAGCAATAACCTAACGTTGGTAAAATTGGAGACTGTTTCCATAGATTTAACATTTTTTACAGTAAAGGCCTCATTTTGCACATATCGACCCCCCCCGGGATGTTGGTTGGAGTTCATAAATCAGTCTTAAAACTGGATATGCAAATACTGTAGATAGATATGTATTACAAAAGATATAAGATGTGTGTATATATATATTCTTTCCCCATGCACATACACACTTCCAGCCTGTTGGCATAGAGATTGTGCGCTGATAGCCTTGTAACGTGGGAAACAGGCACGTGGTTCCCATCCACACTACTGCCTCCAGGAGAAGAATGTTATTTGACAGCAAACTTCTTGTTTCTGGTGTGAAGGCTCAACGTTCTGAGCACCTTCCTGAGCGTGGGCCAACGTTATCAGGTGCTCTTCAGACAGAAAGGTAGAGACTTCAGAGAGGAAGGGGAGAACGGGGTTTGTATTTCAGCTATGATCATGGAGAGTGCGTGTGGTGAGGCTTCTTCCGCTGCACATATCCAAACCAACAGCAAGAGGCAGGGAATATTTAAACTGGGGTAGAGTTTTTAAGAATGAGGGCAAAATTTACTGCCGTGACTGGCTATATCCACTGATAAACAAATAACCTGCCAAAAAGTTTGGGAGGAGTCAGAATAGTGAATCCAGAATAGTACATATACAAATACAGAATACAAATACAAATACAGAATAGTAAGATCCAAGGAGTTTCCTTTGGACATACAGGTACGGAGAAAAGATTTTTTCTTAGTTTTTTCCTGTTTTACAGTCAAGTTCCTTGAATCCATGAGCCCTTCAAAGAGCCATTCCTGCAAAAAGTTAAGATAATAAAGGCAGGATTGGGCTTTTTGCCCTTTTTAACATGAAAACAAAGAATGGCCAGATTTCTGGTTACTTAATGCAACCTGAAAGGTTAGCGTTCAGAGTCATTCTCCTTCTTAAGCTGTTTGTGAGAGGGAAGAGTTCAACGCTAGAGCAGCTGTAATATCGCTGCTCAAAGGTATAAGGCTTATTAGCGGTTCTGCTTGTTTTTCATGTGAGATTAATTTCTTTTGACAGCCATGTCCCTTTGTGAGTCATGTAATTGCAACAGAGACTAGAAACTTGGCTATCGCCACGCACGGAGCACCACTGGAGAGATCATGTGCCACATCCCTCACATGCCTGAGCACTCCTCTGTGGTCTGCGCCGGTGGTTCTTGTTTATAACACTTCTGTGTACCAAAGATCATGGTCGCACGTCTCCTGTTACTAGTAATTTAGGAAGATACTTTATGTCTTTTTTAAGTTTGGAAGCTTTGAGGTCCAGACTTTGCTGGTGTTAGGGGGAAGTTACTTTCTGGGCTCGTGAAGCAGTTTTTAGACATTGAAGTTCTTTTCTGGCCCTCGGTTTCCCCAGATAAAACAAGCTGAGATCTGAATAGGGAGGCAAGGGCTGAGATACGTTTTTGAAACTGGGACAGAGTGCCTCTGAAAATGCGCTCTAAATCTTGAGTCTCCCAGCCATACCAAAGACCACTATTGTGCAAGTTGCAGCTACGTTTAAAATCACTAGCATTTGCCAACCTACATTGAGATCTATTTTATATAATTTTTTAAACTCTTTTTACAGTGAAAACTCTGTTTACAGTGATATGTGTACATAAGAGGTGTGTTTGCACTGGAATTGAGAATTAGCCTGCATACGCTGTGGTCACACTTGAGCCAGCTTTAAGCCCAGTTGTTCAGGTACCAGTAGCATCCACTTTCATCCTCAGCAGCTCAAGTTTTCTTGGGATTTGTGTGTTTGCTCAGCTGATTTCATCTCACCTCATTGTTTTTACTCTTCGTCCTGTGAGCTTGGCAGATCACTTCACTTAGACTTCTTTTTGCACGTAGGCATTGCTAGTTAAGAATACTTCAGGTCTAGAACATGCCAGAGAAGCAACACCTTAGAATGCATAACACTGAAATCTGGATTTCTCCAGCACTGTTTCTCTAATTGCTGTCTCTACAAATTAAATTGTTCATCTCCTGCAGTTTGTTCCAGAAGATATTTTAATTTAACTTTGACCTTTCTCTTGCCTTCTGTCTGTCCCTCTGCCCTCTTCCCACCTGACCTTAATTATGTGCAGATTTGGAGATGGATAGTGTAAAGCCAGGTTCTGCATGTGTTACAGAGGCTCTGAACCAGTCCCAGCTGAGCTCAGGTAGAGCCCATTATGTACAATTAGTCTCTCAGTGTCCTAACCAAGTCTAATACTGTACGTGATAGCAATAACCATTTACTAACACCCTAGGTTTGGTTACAGAAGCTAGATGTAGTTGAAACAGTTTATTCTTCTTCTTTTTTTTGTTTTAATATCTGATGGCTAGAAAAGCCAATGCCTGATTCTAAGAACCCGCCTTCTTGCAGGCAAATTTTCTGCAAGTTGATTTCATTCAAGTCAGTGAGCCCAAATCTGAAGAGCACTGCTTGACAAGGCTGGGTTTCACAGTGTGAATGCTCTGCAGTGTCAGTGGCTACGTGGCTATTAATCTGTGTCATAAATTAGCTTCTTCCCCCCCTTCCCCCCCCGACTGCTGAATTTCTAAATATAAAGTGTTCTTCTTTTCCCAGGCTTTCAATTTGTGCCTCAGAAAGATCTATCCAAAGAGTGTGCCAAACCCTATTTGACCATGTTCTGGAGGAAAGAACTTGCTTGAATAAGAGAGAAAAGAAATGTGGTTAAATACTATAGTTTTATGGCAATGTAAATGACCCTAATGCGTACCCAGTTGCACAGTGATAGCAAAAAACCAACTGTGTTGTGTTGTCATTGTCATGACAACGTCGCTAGAGCTTTTCAGAACTAACATTAGGTAAAATTAAAGTGTTCCAGTGGAACTAAAGAACTGAGATATGTCTCTGGTACATTTTAGGTACTTAAAACAATTTGATCATCAGTTACGGAGCGGTATTTTGATAACAGACATTTCAAATTTTTTTTTGTTTTGTTAATTCATACCTGAACTTTTGTTTTCTGGATCTCCTAAGTGCTTTGAAAGAAAATGTAAGTGGAATTTTAGGAGAGACTGAGTAGCAAACTCTGTAAGTTTTGTTTTCCAGCAGGCTAGATCAGGGCTTTACAGTAGGGCAGGCAGCATGTCATATTTCTTGCAAAGTGTTCAGACAACGTGTCGTCCTCTTATGTCCCTCTGTTTCATCTAGTGCCTTTGTATTGAGATTGAAATGAATTTGCAGGGTAACTGTGTCTTTCATAGAGATCATCCCGGTCTATTCTTTGGGTAAAATGAATAGGTTAATGGATATTTGATACTGATGCTAATAAATACAGCCAGTCAGAGCTCCCTTGGGTCCTGCTGTCCACAACGCTGGTATTACGTTTCAGTTTATGAAGGAGGCTAATGTTGGTGCAGTTCAGCGATTTTAAGCGCTTGGTAGTGCTTCTTTTCTAATTGTATTCCAGCTGATGGCAAATCTTCTTGTGGTTGCCTGTGTGTAAAGCTCTGCCTCTGCTGAAATCCTTGTCTGTATTTCCATTGTTACCTTCTAAAGTCACGAAAGGCAGATTTATTTTTTAACTAGGCTTTAAGGCTTTATTTTACTCCTGTAATAAGTGTTGTATGCTTCCTTTAAAAAAAGAAAATTTTTTAGCAGTATTATTTTGCTGGTAGTTTGCATCTTGGATATGTTAGGAATGCCAAACTTAGTCTTCCATAATTATGTTGCATTGCTTGCTTTCAGTGCAGTGAATTCTGATAAAGTGCTTATTTAATCTGCATTGCTCCAGTAATTACCTGTTTTTAGGAGAAAGGGATTTATTGCCATGACTGCCCAGGACTGCACACAGCTATAAGACATGCTATTGCAGTGGTTAGTCTTTTTAGGTCTTTAAATTCGTGTACAGAATTGAAGTACAAATCAGAACTGCAGCAGCGTTTTCCTGTTAGGTTTTCATTTCCTTGGAGTCTTCCTTTCTCTTCGCCTTCCCTCCCTTGTTTCAATGATTCTTTCCCCTTCTTTCTTTCCTTCCCATTTTTTGGCAGAAATAGAAAGGGATGAGAACTGTGGGCTGATCTGTGGAAATGCTGCTATATACAGAATTCATCTGGTCTTCTATGAAAGTCGCACCATGAAATCTGTGATTCTGCCGGAAAAGTATGAGTTTGAGAGAACAGCTCCCTAGAGCCTGTGTGCTAGGAACAGATACTGGCAGAAACTCTAAATTACAGATTCTGTGTCCATCGGGCAAGTATGCCCCGTGGGTATGTGTGAGCATCCCAACAGCAGCCACGGATGTCCTGTCCTGGGTACTAAAGAGTCTCTCTCCAGCCCTCTCTGGGGGAGTGAATTCAGCAGAAGTTGCATTTGGCTTTAGTAAGCCAAACAGCGTCGAGCCGTGTGTTTTGGTTTGCTTTCTCACCAGTGGTTTGGGAGGAGGAACCAGGCATGTTCTGTACCTGGGTCTGCTGCTCCAGTGCTCCCTTCCCCACGCGGGGGCACCGAAGCCCCCGTGGCTTCCCCCACAGCCAGCCATCGAGGCACAGCATTTCCACTACGATTTGCGCAGCTGAAGCTGTGAACTATCTTCTAAATGTCCCATTCCCCTTTTGCAAGAGGGCAAGATTTTTGATCCGTTTTCCTCTAGAGCTGCGTGAAAAGCCACCTGAGGATTACTGAGGTTGCTCCATAATTTATCATTTTAGGAAGCTGCAAGAGAGTTGCAGGTGCATACGGATGCGGATGCCAGTGAACAGCAGTTTTGGGGGTCCTTTGCCAAACTGGGACAAGTAGTGGATTTACATGGAGCTTAAAAATGTTCTCAAAGTTTAAAAGTGTCAATTATTTCTCCTGCGCGCTGCAATGAACCTCTGACTATGAGAACTGATTTTTGTATGTAACTTGCTTTTGAATTTAGCCTTCTCTGGCACATCTAAAATACTTTTCCTGTCCACCTAAATAAAATCTATAAATCTTGGCTAGCTCATAAGTGAGAGATGAGCAAAAATTTTAAGTATTTCAAATAAGTTCCTAAGGATACATAGCATTAGGAAGTCAATGTATTTTTTTCTTCCTTCTTAATCCTTTAATCCTTTAACAGTGCAGATGTTTTCTGACAGTAGTAGTAAGAACCGAGCATACATTTTGGCAGTATTTTTTTTTAGCACCCATGGTTGTGTTTCTTACCCACAGACTCTATGGAGTTTTAGGTAGCATTTGTAGTTGATGCAGTATTTGCAATCTGAACAAATAGATATTTTTGTAACATTTCCTAGGTGCTGTGGAATTTGAGAGTCAGGTATTTGTGAGTAAATTGGTTGATGTTTTCTTCAAGAGGCCTGGATTTGAAAGCATGGAGTGTTCCCTGTGGAAGAGATAAAAATTCCTGCTGTAAGGGTCCCGAGGAAGCAGGGTCAGAGGCAGAGCGAGCTTGGCAGGGAGGAGACTCCATGGTTTGGGGGAACAGTAGAAGAGAAGCCTGGCCTAAACCAAAAGGGCAGACTCTAGGGCCCCGGGACAAGGAGAGGGATACAGTTTGGTTCAGCTGTTTCATTTATATCTTTTTTTCTTTTTTACCTGAAGTAAAAAGAGAGTTTTCTAATCTGTTACAAGACCTGCTTGTCTAAACCTTCCCAACCCCCCCAAAGGGGAGCCTCTGTAATTTCAGAAACAAATGTCATGTGTGCAAACCAAGTAGTTTACAGGGATAAGTTATTGCACATGAGCATTGCCTTGTACCCTGCGTAATCACTCGCGCAAGCGCAAACCAAGTGGAAAAAGGTGATGGCTCTGGTGACCTTTTGGCTGCTTTGCACAGTATCAGTAGCAGCAGAGGCGCAGGGCATCAGTGAATGAGGCCTCTGTCTCCCACCCCAGATTTGCACTCATGTTTTTCCTGGCATAGCTGAGTCTGCTGTAAGTATGAAAAAGATTGCACCCAGAGCTGACGCAGCTTATCTGCCAAAAAAAAAAAAACCCAACCCAACAAGCCCACCCTGAAGAGCCAGCCGGGGTGTAGGCAAAGCCGTCCTGGCAGAAGAGCCCTTTTGCCAGCTTAGGTTATGTCAAGAGCTCTGCCAGGTGAGGAACATCTCCTGTCAGCATACCCTGCATCTCCACCGGGAGGCACTACTGGTGTAACTACAGCCTCGCGTCTCCCGAAGTCCAGGGGAAATGCCCGAAACGCAGGTAGAGGGAAGAGAGGGGTTCATTTCTGTATTCCCCGTAGTGCAGCTTCTTCCTCGTGTGTGGTCACTCGCAGCCTCTGAGGCTTTCTGAAGAAGTTGAACCCGTAGACAGTAGCTTCAGGCTTCCCAAATTTTGACAGGTAATTTTGTGGCAAGTCTCGGCCGTGTTTCCTAGGGAATTTTAATTGGAAAAGGAAACGAACAAGCGTGGTGTATGGATCTGTGCACAGTCTGTACGCATCAGTTCAGAAATAATTACATGGATCTGTGTACTGTGTAGGTAAGAGAGAGATGTATTAGTGTTTCTGTTAACCTTTTTTTGAGAGGTTGAATCCACGGAAATAGGATGACTACTTGTGAAGTAAAGCGGTAAAACTTGGCTGAGTGCAGGGGTGTTGGAGGCACCAATGTGCTATTAATAAGGCCAGCTTTCTTTTCACATGTTCTGTGCTTCTTTCTCGCTCTGCCTGCTCTCCACTTATTCAGGTTGGGGTTTTTTGTTATTTTTAAACTAGATTTTTTTTTCCTTTCCCACAAGCTCTGTCAAAATGGGACTTAACTCTAATAATAGTTGGCTTGAGCAAAACTCCGCAGTTATGCTAAGAGCTTTGAAATCATGGGAAAAGGTAGTTTGTTCTGCTCTGCTTTTCCTCTTCTTTTCTCCTGAGTAATTCTGTAAATTAGTGTGGGAGCCAAGTTGTGGCTGAGAAATATTTTCAGGCAGCTTTAACCTTAGACGATAGGACAGAGCTCTGATCTCTTCCTGCGCTGGCATATGGATTTATCAAGGGTCATGCCAGTGCATATCTCAAATCTCCAATTAAAACCTGGTCCTGTTAAGTTGACAAAGGCTGAGCAGCTACGCCATCACCTCTCGGTATGCAAAGGAGTGGTGCTTGGGCTCTGACTCCATCTGGCTGTCGCTGTGATGCCCGTAGGGATCGGTGATGTTGCTACATCTGCAAGAAAAGTGTCGGTGCGAAACTACAAGTTAATGTTAAAAGTGAGTGGAGCTGGAGAACGCACGCTGGCAAATCCATAATGTTTGTCTGGCTTTCTCAGAAGGTCTTGGTTTGGGCACAGCTATAGTGTGTGTTTGGGAGGATCCTCAAGCGAACACGTAGAAACGCATATTGTCCGCTGCTTGGACAAGATCTGCAGTGTGTTTCCACCAGAAATCCTGCACAAGCAGCCAAGGCAAGACTACTCCTCTGCCCTGCTCTCTCCGTCTCTCTCTGTCCTCCCTCCTTTTCTTCCTCTCTCCCTGGTAGTGAATTGAACTGCTGCAAGCTGCAGATCATAACATTACTCTGGCCTTTAGGATTTGCTTCACTAGCTCATGAATCAGCCTGTGTCTGTGATTAATTCAGAAGACTTTGCTGATCTGAAGTTTCATCTGCCGGATTTCATTTAAGAGCTTGTGTCAGTGCCGTGCTCATTCTTCTTCAGCATTTAATCCTGTAACTGCAGTGGGAAGCTTGCACCAAATCCTTTGACTTGTTCTCATGGGAACTTGCTTTTGCTAAAGGAAAGGCGAGTGAAAGTCCTCTGTTACCCGCTTGGCTATGTATTACATCATTCCTAACTGTGTTTTTACCTTTGTAAATGGAATATTTGGAATATTTTTCTTGCAAACCTGGACAGCCATGGCAGACCATGGCTACGTCCACCAAAAGAGCAAGTCACTACATGATTGTCCAGGTACTCTGTGACATGAGATACCTTTATGTCAAACCTGGTTTCTGTGAGCTCTGTGAATCAAATCAAATCATTTTGAGGTTATCCCGTGGCATTCTGTTGCATGGTGTGCTGTTCCCTTGGGTTTGTTTTTTTAATCTCCCACTCTGCTTTCATCTATAACCTTAGTTTCTCCCCAAAACCCTTTTAAAAAAAGGAGGAGTTTGTTTATTTGGGGGGTTCTTTTTTTGTGTTTTGAGAGTATTTGATTGCAGGATATATCTAGCTGAGTAAGAAAGCAGCATTGAAAAATACTGGCTGCCTAACTTCTAATAACGGCTTGAAGCTTCCTTCAGTGGTTAAATTTGCAAAACCAGAAAGTGGAAGAAGCTATGGGGTATATTAATAACATTTTTTAGGTTACTCTGCCTTCCCAGTACTTCTGTCTGAAATAACTTTTGGAGGATAGGTTAAACTTCTGAATGCTTTAAGGATTGAATTTGTCACAGGCGTGTGGATGGAGCCTTCTTGTCTATGATTTCCAATGCGTGGGCTTGTTAGCTGTGTTTAAAAAATAGACATTCATTATCTACCTCTTCTGCTCCACTGCAAGCTGATGAACACATAAGTAGCGGAGAATGCATCTCTTTCGTTTGCTTTTGTTCCTTAAAACTGTCTGGCAAAAGAAATTAGGAACAGAAAATAAGACCCACATGCAAAGGTTATGTTATTATTTTCAATCGAGAGATTCAGAAGAAGCAAGGGGGCATCCCAGTATGTTCAGTTCAGAGGAGGGCAAAGATCCCCTGACTAAGGCAGAGCTCGTAAGCTCCGGAGCCGGAGGAGTTACGTCCGTGTGGTATGTGAACAAGCTCTTTAGCCGTGATGCAGTGCTGTGCCAAACGCAGACTTGTTTCCAGGTGCAGAGGAGCCACATCCCTGGTTGCTCAGGTTTCTTTCCTATAAGAAAGGCGTTTTGTAACACACATTAAGTATTTTTCTTTACAGGAAACAAAGTGCAGGTGGGGGAAAGGTGTGCCATTGTACACCACACAATAAAATATCTCCTCAAGCACTGTTGATCATCAGAGCAATAATTTCCAAAGGTAATACCCAAATCTACAGTTGAGGGAGCTCTGTATCACTGGTGATGCAGCTGTTATATGCCTGCTCTGATTAGCAAAAATAGGATTGTGCGATCTCTGGCCCCAGTTTGAAACTGTGCACCAGCAAACTGTGCAAACCGGAACAGTTTGTCACAACGTGGTTAATCAGCCTTGTAGGATTCTGCCTGCAAAAGCTTGGCCTACATTAAAAATAG